TTCTTCATTCTCTTTTTTTTTTTTTTGTGGTGGTTTTTTTTTTTTTTTTTTTGGTACCAGGGATTGAACTCGGGTCTTTGCACTTGCAAGGCGGGCCACCAAACCACTGAGCTAAATCCCAGGCCCTATTCTTCATTCTTTTTAAATAATGACTTCCATAACAAGGGGTCTGGTGTAGAACAAAGGTGATCTTTATGTCCCCATCCTTGGGCACTCAGGTCCCACATGCTCTGGGGTTGAGAGATTTTCAGCTCAGATGGAGTAGTGGCTGGGCTGGGTAAGGAGACAGGACCTGCAGAGAGATGTGAGGAGTGGCTCATCTGAATGGGTGGTGTAGGAGTGCTGAAGTGAGGTATGTTAGTGGCTAGCTGCTGTCTGCCTATCCCCTGTCCACCATCTAAACTGTTGAGTCAGGTACCTTAGCTCCTAGAGCATAACCACATAGCTGCGAAGACACCCAACGGAAGTCACATGGGGAATAGTTCTGTGCCAAGGGCTTTAATGTCCTGTCTTTGGAAGAGTTCCCCACTAGCTTGGAGATTACCACTTTCACAGCACCTTAAAGGCGTTTTGCCATTTCTGGTGTCAGGTCAGAGGCTTTTCAGATTTTTCGTTCCCTATTTGTAATGTGGTTTTTCTCTGTCTGCTTTTAAGATATTTTTCTTTGTTTGGGTGTCAGCAGTGTGATTCTGATGTTCTTTGGCATGATTTTCCTTGATTTTTATTCTGAAAAGTGTTTTAGCAGTTAATTTGCTGGGACTGACTTCTTTTATATTTAGCCAGTCAGCCTACAGCCTGTGCCTGTGTGTAGTGTAGGAGGGGCCGCAGACGTGATGGCTTATTATACACAGTGCACAGAGCTCCCCATCTTTGGCGCTGTCCTTTGTGGAATTTCCTCCTGTTTTCAGGGGCAGTGTTTGCCCCAGACCTTTCATCTTCAGGCTAGACAGTTGTGGGTTTTGTCTGAGAGTCGCAGCTGTCCTTCGGGATGCTCCAGCCTGCTCTCAAGGTCAGAGCGACACTAACTCCCTGGGGCAGCAGTGTGCTTTCTGTTTGTTGACTCTGTTCTCTAGGAAGTTGCATTTGTCCAGAATTATAGTTGTCATCGGTAGCAGGCCAGAGTGCTTTGCAGCTTACTCAGCCTTCCTAGAAGCAGAAATCTCCAGATATATCATCATTCCACCAAACATTTTGGTTTGAGTTACTCCTTTAGATTCTGGAACATAATAAGTAAGGTAGCATCTTAGAGTATGATGTGGCAATGAGAATGTTAAGAGCTGTCCTTTTGATGTTTAAAACTTGGTCTGTTATGAAAGTGACATCTTTCAGTTATTCACAGCAGTCAAGCTCACTCAAAACATTGCTTCTCTTCACACTGCCGATTGAGTCATTTCTAGGACTGTTTTTACAACCAGTCCTGGCGTTGGATTTTTGTCACTCTGTTCTTCATAAAGGGCATAGCTCATTTATTTACAGAGTGGCTGGCAAGGGCTCTTTGAAGAAGTAACAGTGACATCTGGGGGGAAATTTGAATGGGGTGAGTGCGTGCACTGCGTGAATCTGGAGGATTCAGCCGTGGCAAGTGCAGGAAGCAGCCACAGGGCCTCCAGGTGGGAAGTTGACAGGCGTCGGGGGAAGATGGCTGGGCCATGTTTTGAGATGGGGTCTTGCTCTGTTGCCCAGGCCTCCAACTCTTGGACTCAGCTCATCTACCACCTCTTGAGTGCCGAGGCAACAGGTATGGGCCACAGTGCCAGTGCCTCTTTTCTTTTGTTCTTTTGGGTGCCAGGTATTGAACTAAGTAAGGTCCTTGTGCTTGTGAGGCAGGTGGTGGAACCACTGAGCTCCCGCCATGCCTCTTCTCAGCTTTCATTGTCTTGATTCTGTGATTCTATAATGGGGTTCTTTTTTTAAGTTAAAGGAGAAGATTATGAAGGGCTAACAGGAGCTGTTGTTTCACTTTCTTGTCTGTGTGGTACCCTGAAATAAGATTCATTCTTAGTGGATTCAGTACAGCCAGGCCTAATATTTTCTTAAAGAGCATAATATTTTAAGTACATATATTAAAAATGCTGAATTTCGTAGGTGGCAGGCACTAGTCCATGACTGCTATTCTTTTTCATTGTGAGAAGAAAGGTGGTGAGATAGTCAAAAGAACCAGCGAGGTACCAATCAGTGCAGGGTATGCAAGACTTGAACGAGTGTTGTTGAGCATTGCTCCCACCTTGATTGATGGAGACTGATGGATTTTTTTTTTGCTTTAGGAAACAGGATTAAATTAAGAATTTAATTAAATTAAGAAGTTTTCTAATTCCTCTCTAGCTGTAATTCCTTAATATTATTAAATATGTTGAATTTTCATTAGTTTTGATCTATAAACTTCTTGGGTCTTTATTCCATATTCTGAAAGTAGACTAGCAAGGCTAAATTATGTCCTATGTCACATTCATTCATTTGTTCATTTATAAGACATTTGTTGAACACCTGCTCTATGCCAGGCACGAGGCTCTGTTCATTGTGGTTGATGTACCAGTAATTAATAATTTGAAAATTAGTCTTCATGTCCATGCACAACTAAAGTGGGATTATAAGGTCTCCCATTAGTACTGAAATTTAGAAGCATGAAGAAATAGTGTTGGGGCTGTTTTAATTGAAAACATCAACAGAAATGAAAATTGTAATGTCACATACTACCTCTGGTTGACCTATTTTTTTTTTTTTGCATAATTAGATATGCTTTTCTCACACTCCCAGAGGCTGGTGCTGATCTGTGTCTTTGTTTAGAAATATTCAAGTCTTTTGGTCCTGATTTGGATGCCAAAACCAATAATAGTTGGCTGTGCTTTTGTCTAGCCATACGCACTATAGCTTTGAAGCCAAACTGTTGGGAGAAAGCTACCTGCTTCCCTCCCTCCCTCCATCCCTTGTGGTTGCTCTCTGTCCCCACCTCCCAGGCTGTCAAAGTGTAAGGGTAGAAGTACTGTTTGGGGGAAGATCTCATTGCCCTGGGATGAAGAACTGTAAGTTATTCTTGAAGTACTGCAGCTTTGCTATCTCCTGGGCATTGACTCAGTCACAACGTCTCAGCAGTGGCACTCATGACATTTTGGGCTGGATCATTCTTGGCTGGGGGAGGCTGTCCTGTGCATTGTAAGATTAGCAGCATCCCTGACTTGCACTAGGTCCAAGCAGCTCACTCTCTCCCTCCCTAGTGGTGACAACCAAACACATTTCCAGACATTGCCAGAAGTCACCCCCAGGGTGTGGGGCAGCAAAAATTACTCCTGTTTGAGAACCACTGCTCTCAATCCTTAAAGCAGCCTTACTGACCTCAGTTGTTGGTCAGCTAACCACAGATCAGTTGTAATACTTGATGTGAGTTCTGTGAATCCTTAAAGCTTTTCTTTGATTGCATCTTGCTCTCACTGAGCCCAGAAGACTTGCTCCAGGATGAGCAGAGGACAGGTATACTGTGTTCTTGCCTCTTGATGTGCAGGTGATAGACTTCACTTGCCTACTGAAACAACTGGTGTGAAATCTCCACCAAACCACATTTGCTGTTAGACTCCAGCGCTATGGTCCCACCCAAGTATTTAAAGAACACAGTTGGTTCTCTGGATTTGGTTCAGTTTATAAATTGGACAGATAATTTGGGTTATGCTCTTGGTATCAGATCATGATCATTTTAGTATCTCTTGATTCTTATTTTCAGATTCAGAGCTAGGTTGTTTACAGACGACGTGGTACTATGGTGATTTAGCAGACAATTGTTCATGTTCATACAGCCAGTAAGTAGGAGCATTGGACTTTGAGCTCAAGTTTTTTTTTTTTTGTTTTTTTTTTAACTCCAAAGCTTTGCTTTTCCCCCTTTACACAGGGTTCTCCATATTGAATGCACAGAGCAGGGGCCTGAGGGTCTTTTTTTTTTTTTTTTTGGTCAGTACTGGGGATTGAACTCAAGACTTTGTGCTTGTGAGGCAAGTGCGGTGCCATTGAGCTAAATTCCTGGCCTCTGAGGGTCTTTGATGTACAGGTTTGATGGTGTGGGTCTGTGTTTCAGATGGTCCCAGGTGAAGCCCCTGTGCTGGGCTTCAGGTCATGCTGAGTCCTGAGGCTCTCTGCTCTGTTACATGTTACTCATTTTTCTGTAAATAATCCTCCTTGAGATTAATCCATAAAATTGATAATCTGTAAGCAGATATTCACTTGGGCCTCCCTCCTGTCCCTGGGGAAGGGAGCTCAGCCACTGCGGGGCTGAGCACTTGGTGGCCATCCTTCTCTGCATCCTGACCCCACCTCAGCTCCTTATGCTGTCACCACTGCATCTGTGCTCAGGCCCCTGCTCCCAGCTGGTCAGATATGCTGCAGAGTAAAGCGGACCTCTGTGTGTGGTGCTTGGCTGGGACATCGGTACCTGTAGTACTTTGGAGACGTGGGTCCGTTTTTACCATTGTATCATGTATGGGCAGGTGCTGTGCCACTGAGCTGTACCCAACCCACTCTATCTTGATTTGGGCTGGGATTTTTGTGGAGCTGAGGCAAAGTCTAAGAAAAGCTTTTTGATGGAGTAACATTCAAAGGGAACAGTTATTCACGTGCTTTTATAATCAGCAGCACTTTTTTCCTTGATGGTACTTAATGCATTTTGGGGGCAGGGTAGTGGGCATGCCTACAATCCCAGCCACTTGGGTGGCTGAGGCAGGAAGATCACAGGTTTGAAGCCAACAACTTAGTGAGACTCTGCCTCAGAGTCAAAAAGGACTGGGAGGATGGCTCAGAAGCAGAGTGCTTATCTAGTATGATGGGGCCTCGTGTTTGGTCTAGTAGGTGGACAGAAGAAAGGAGGGCATGTTTTATCGTGCTTTGCCTTGAAATTGATAAAGGTAACATCAGTTTAGCAGTGAAAGGACTGGATTTGAAGTGAGGTGGTACCGCTGAGAGGCATTTGCAGCTGCCCACTTGTGTGATGGAGCCATCCTAGGCCTTAGCTTGTCCATGTACAGTGATACTTGGACCGCACTCTCTCCGAGGCCTTCCTTTCTGAGTAAATTCTACTGTAAGGATGTTAGAATGAATTTGCCAGAGTATGAGTTCTCTGCACCAAGAACACAGAAGGAATTCAGTCTGAGAAGTGGCAGGGGTGGAGTTTGTGTGACAAGAGGCTCTTAGCTCTGGGGAGACAGAATGGAAGGAAAGATGTCTGAAGCTGAAGAGGCTCGTGAGGGCTCAGGAGTGTACTGAGCCAGGTGGAGCTGGTCCTCTGTGCAGGTAAAGCCACCCGTGGGAATCAGGGTGACCCTGTTGGCTTTTAAAAGATAGTTCCTCATGAGATTCTCTTTGCTTTTTGAGAATAAAATGATGGTTCATTAGTTGGACTAATTTAGCTAAAAAAGAGCACAGGGCATGGTGGCACACAATTATAATCCTACTTTTGTGTGTGGCTGGGGCAGAAGGATCTTGAACTTGAGGCCAGCCTTGATAACTTAGCAATGCCCTTTCTCAAAATAAAATTATGAAGAAAGAAGCCAGGCATGGTGGTGCACGTCTGTAATCCCAGCACTCGGGAGGCTGAGCCAGGAGGAGTGCCACAACTTGTAGGCCAGCCTGGGCTACATAGTGAGTTTGAGGCCAGCCTGAACTACAAAGCAAGACTCTGTCTCTCAACAAACCAAAAAAAAAAAAAAAAAAAAAAGAGGATT